GACTATGTTCTGGAATATAGTTTAGTCTATAGTCTGGACTTTAGTCTATGCCACAGTCTGTGCTGTAGTCTAGTCTACAGTCCTGAATACAGACTATAGACATGACTATAGTTATAGCTATAGGCTATATACATAGACTAAAATTAGATTATAGCCTAAACTATAGTCCAGACTACGGACTATAATAAAGACTTTAGATTAGACTATAGCCCAGACTGTTGACTAAACTATAAACTAGACCATAGTCCAGACTATACTACAATCCAGACTATAGCTTAGACTATAATCAACATTATATGATTGTTTCCCAGACTTTCGTCTATATATATAGTTCCTGACTAGATACTAAACTGTAGTCCTCACTATAGTCTTAACTAGACTAGACTTTAGTTCAGACAATAGAGTTAACTACAATTCAGACTATAGCTCTAGTTTGAACATTTTTACAAACTATAAATTCTCTAACTTTTATTAAGGACTCTTAAATTCGACCTAGAAAAGTCTAACTGACCTTTTGAAGTATTTCTTATATATAAATAAGATAAAACTTGATAAACTTTACATTATTTTTATCTTGTACTTTTAAAATTATTTAAGATAATAAAGTTATATTTACATATGTTATTTATTTTTATTTAAATATTTTGTTAACAAGTAGGAATGTCTCATATATTTAAATAAGATACGAGTGTGCTAGAGATAAGATGTTAATATTCTAAAAACGTGTTATAGAGCAATAGAAATTACTCAAATTGTCGTATTACGTTAATTGGAATATGAAATTAGTTAAATTTTTACGCTTTAAAATAAAATAACAATTTGAAGCTTAGGACTTTGCCCTATAAAAATAATGCTTATAATGATTTTCCAAATAAAATTTTTTTAAGAATTTTAAGGTTCAGGAACCAGAAATTTTATTGTCGAAATTCTGAGATTCAATATTTTTTGAGTGTGCGACGTTCGAGGTAAAGGTTTAGTTAAGAACAATTTTAATTTATGACTTATTACAAAAAAATTTTATAAAAATTAAAAAAAATATATATATTAAGTTGAAAGAACTTTCTATAGATTAAAACCAAACAATCTTACTTGACTACCAGTTTTAAAAGTTAAACAATAAACATAAATATATCCTTGATTACAATTTTTATTGTTACATTTTATTTAAATCCAAAAAATATGTATATTAAGCAGTACGAGTAATTAAAGCTAAATTTCAAGTTGAAAGAACTTTCTATAAATTTTAATGAAAATAATCTGGCTTGACTACCAGTCTACCCAGTTTATCATGAATGGGTTTTTTGTTCCAATGTTGCTTGGATCTTAATAATTCTTGAAACAATTAAAAAAAATCAAAACAAATACATCACATACATTTTACATTGCATCAGTTTTTGAACATGCATGATGTAACATCAATTTAACATTGCAACGGACGCGACGCATTTACCGCAAACTTGTACGAGAGTCGCAAACGCTTGAATTTAAAAGTTCAATGTACAATTATGGCTTAAATTCTGTTTTTGGCTAAAAAAATTGTACGTACACACACTACAACTCGGCTAGAGTAATAACAACCTATGAGTTGTAATAAATTTATGTATGATGCAACTAGAAGTCTAATAAAAAAAATAGCAAAAAGACCAGACATTTAAAAGAATTTAAATTCTGCAGTTACAGTCATACTTAAATATTAAAAATACTGAACATTTAACATAAACTTTTAAATAAAAATATAATTTTACTAATTTAAACCTCTGTTTTTTCGCAATGTTTTTAAAACATGTTTGGATTCCAAAAATTGCTAATTGTTATTTATGTTATGACAAAAATGATTTTATGGTCGAAAACAAATTGGAATAGTTTTGAATTAAACATTGTACAAGCGTCTATAATTACTCTTCAATCCTCTAGTTATAGAAATTTGTCAATCGTTTATTCTATAATCTAATTTATATGCTATAGTCTAGTGTATATTCTAGTCTATAGACTATTCTAGTCTATACTCCTGTCTACAGTGTAGGCTATAGTCTAGTCTATAGTCGTCTGGTCTATAGTCGTCTAGTCTATAGTCGTCTAGTCTATAGTCGTCTAGTCTATAGTCGTCTAGTCTATAGTCGTCCAGTCTATAGTCGTCTAGTCTATAGTATACTATATAGTCTAGTATATAGTCTAGTTCATAGTGTAGTCTATAGTCGTCTAGTCTATAGCCTAATAGTGTCGTCTATAGTCTATGTAGTCTATAGTTTAGTTTATAGTCTAGTCTATAGTCGTCTGGTCTATAGTCTAGTCTACAGTCTTGTCTATAGTCTAGTCTATAGTCTACAGTCTTGTCTATAGCCTTGTCTAGTCTATAGTCTAGTCTACAGTCTAGTCTAGTCTATAGTCTAGTCTATAGTCTAGTCTACAGTCTAGTCTAGTCTATAGTCTAGTCTATAGTGTAGTCTAGTCTATAGTCTAGTCTATAGTGTAGTCTATAGTCTAGTATATAGTCTAGTCTATAGTGTAGTCTATAGTCTAGTCTGTAGTGTAGTCTATAGTCTAGTATAGTCTAGTTCATAGTGTAGTCTATAGCCTAGTCTGGTCTATAGCCTAATAGTCTCGTCTATAGTCTATGTAGTCTATAGTTTAGTTTATAGTCTAGTCTATAGTCTAGTCTATAGTCTAGTCTATAGTCTAGTCTATAGTCTAGTCTATAGTCTAGTCTATAGTCTAGTCTATAGTCTAGTCTATAGTCTAGTCTATAGTCTAGTCTATAGTCTAGTCTATAGTCTAGTCTATAGTTTAGTCTATAGTCTAGTCTATAGTCTAGTCTATAGTCTAGTCTATAGTCTAGTCTATAGTCTAGTCTATAGTCTAGTCTATAGTCTAGTCTATAGTCTAGTCTATAGTCTAGTCTATAGTCTAGTCTATAGTCTAGTCTATAGTCTAGTCTATAGTCTAGTCTATAGTCTAGTCTATAGTCTAGTCTATAGTCTAGTCTATAGTCTAGTCTATAGTCTAGTCTACAGTCTAGTCTATAGTGTAGTATACAGTCTAGTCTTTAGTCTAGTCTATAGTCAAGTCTATAGTCTAGTCTATTGTCTAGTCTATAGTCTAGTCTTTAGTCTAGTCTATAGTCTATTCTAGTCTATTGTCGAGTCTATAGTCTAGTCTATAGTTCAGTATATAGTCTACTCTATAGTGTAGTAGTCTATAGTCTAGTCTATAGTCTAGTCTATAGTCTAGTCTAGTCTATAGTCTAGTCCATAGTCTAGTCTATAGTCTAGTCTATAGTCTAGTCTATAGTCTAGTCTATAGTCTAGTTCAGAGTCTAGTCTATAGTATACTATATTGTCAAGTGTATAGTCTAGTTCATAGGGTAGTCTATAGCCTTGTCTGGTCTATAGCCTAATAGTCTTGTCTATAGTCTATGCAGTCTATTGTTTAGTTTATAGTCTAGTCTATAGTCTAGTCTATAGTCTAGTCTATAGTTTAGTCTATAGTCTAGTCTATAGTCTAGTCTATAGTCTAGTCTAGTCTATAGTCTAGTCTATAGTCTAGTCTATAGTCTAGTCTATAGTCTAGTCTATAGTCTAGTCTATAGTCTAGTCTATAGTCTAGTCTATAGTCTAGTCTATAGTCTAGTCTACAGCCTAGTCTATAGTGTAGTATACAGTCTAGTCTAGAGTCTAGTCTATGGTCTAGTCTATAGTCTAGTCTTTAGTCTAGTCTATTGTCTAGTCTATAGTCTAGTCTTTAGTCTAGTCTATAGTCTAGTCTATTGTCGAGTCTATAGTCTAGTCTATTGTCTAGTCTATAGTCTAGTCTATAGTTCAGTATATATCCTAGTATATAGTCTACTCTATAGTGTAGTAGTCTATAGTCTAGTCTATAGTCTAGTTTAGTCTCAATGCTGTAGAGAAGACTACAAGAATATAGTCAAGAGTATATATAGACTTGTCTGTAGTCATGGCTATAGTCAAGACTATAGTCTGCTTTATAGTCGTAGAAACAGTTCTGTCTATAAATAGTCAAGCCCATAATCTAAGCTATAGTCAAAAAAATTTCCAGTTCTATGGTCGACGTAATGCTGTAAAAAACAGATTCTTGTTCTACTTGGATCCACATTTCAGAAAAAATTATATCACATCCCAGGTATTTATTTTTGTCGCATAATGTAGTCATTGAAGGCTTAAATAAAACTCTAAAAAACTATGCAAATTTATGATGCTATTTATGTTAAGCGTGTGTTATAAAATTCTAGGAATAGATAAGTCTATTAAGTAAATATTTTATTTAATAATATTTAGAAATACTTATCAATTTATATTTAAAATAAAAACGAAACCAAAAACATCTATATTTGGAGCTACAGTTGTGGACAAAATAATATGTACATCAAAACAAAAAGTGGTTTCAAAATCAAAAGTTTTGAATTGGATTAAAATGAATTTTGTGTTTATTTTTGCCAGAGGAAACGGTGTTTTTTACATCTACGTAATTTGTAAACACGCGTCTTAATTATAATCTTAACTTTGGTTTTTAAAAGTTTTTTATTTAATAACATTTCGTACAATAAATAAGTCTAATATAGATCGGTATTAAATGACTATAATGTGATCACTATACATATCAGTCTTGCCAAGGATTGTGTTAATTGAATATATTGTGTTGAACTTTTATCGCTATCTGAAGAATGTAAATGAAAATCTGATTGGATCGGAAACCATGGAATGACGAAAATGTTCAATTTATTATTCTGTTTAATGAAAGTTGTATTATTGTATTACAAGTATTTTACTACAGATTTTTGAACTAATAAGAACTTGACATTGACGCAGACCACTCACTCAACATAACAATTAATAAGTTTAATTCTGAAATAAAATTATTCTTATCAACATAAGTTCTACGCTCGCTTATAAATTCATACCAATACAATGATCACAAAATCTAATAATGAAGATTAAATGATCATCTACAATTTGAGGGATAATCTGAAAGCTTAACTAAGAACAAAAAGAAATTAAATTTCTAAAAATCAGTTTGAAAAACTTACTTGATCAGAGAAGACATTGGAGAATGAATCGCTTACAATGGCTTTTAGGCCTCGTTTTAGTGGCTTTTATCTGCATGGTGGGCGTGCAGGCCGATAGTGACAGTGATAGTGGCAGTGATAGTAATAGTAATGAAAGTGGTAGTAAAAAACATCATAAGAAATATAATTATCCACCACCACCACCGCCTGCCGCCCATCCACATCCATATGGTCATCCTAATTATTATAATCATCCAGTTTATATGCCACAAGGACCACCAACACCCTATGGCGGTTATTATCCTCCTCCTCCCTATTATTATGGCTATCCACCTCAACAACCCCCACCACCACCACCTCCAGCAAACTATGGTCCTTATGGCGGCTATTACAATCAACCTCCTCTACCAGTACAACAACCTGGACCACCACCTCCACAATTTCAAGGCGAACCAACACAAGCACCTCAAGGATTTCCCGGCATACCCGGTGGTACCAGCACTATTAATCATTCGTTAAAAGTAAATAAGGAATATAAGGAAGATGGTCATCATTATAAGCCTGATGGTACACTAAGCAATTAAAATTGTATGTATAATTAATGGATGTCAATAAAGAATAGGTATTAATAAAAACAAAAGTGTTTTTTTTTTATAATTTTTATAAATAAGATTAGAAAAATAACATAATACTACGTAATAGTGCAACCGAAACTGGATTTTTCTGGTAAAAATTTTATGCGAAAAGAAAAGTGTGTTAATATTTGTATAATAATCATTCCCCCATTTCCCTATATAGAGTGCAAAAAGTGAAACGTCAAATTATTGGCTGGAACCTTGATATTAGTCACTACTGCTGGATTCAATCCTTTAGAACACTGTTGGAATTTTATAATACTTTCAGCAACACGTTTCGAAAATGTTCTATAAAAAGAGAAGTTTTTCGAATATTTTCCTTAAAAAGAGAAATTTCGAATATTTTCCATAAAACATAGACAATTTTCGAATGTCTTCTATAAAAAAAATTAAATCCCTTTTTAACACAACAATAAAAATAAACTCGTTGCATTAATAATTTTATTAAATATCAATATGATTTTCATTTTATTTAAATTTGATTTCATTTTAAATATTGTAAACTTCTTAAATTATTTATATTCTTTTTTCATTAATTCTTAATTTTTTTTTTAATTTATTCATTATTAAATTATTAATGTAAAAATAGCAAACAAAATTATTTTAGCTAAATTAGCATAAAAACAAGGAACAAAAATGAAAAAATACAACACAAGCCTTTCTGCACTTTTTTTCCATATACGAGGGCAGTTTACTCATCATTTTCTTTTTATAACTTTATATAGCAATCAAAAAAAGAAAATACAAAATAATAAAAACATTGCTAAATATATAAATTTCCTTTTTCTTTATTTTTTATTTTTATTTAGTGATAAAAATTAAATAATATTTTTTTTACAATTACATAAAATGAAACATAAAATTAAAGAAAAAACAATTACACAAAGAAAAAAAAACAATTACTGCAAGAAATGTTTTCAAAAATTAAAAAAAAAATACTAATTTTTAAAGCAAAATTTTAGTTTTTCAAAGTTAAACTTTAAACAAAAAAAAATTAATAAAAAGAAAAACAATAAAATATTATAACTAATAAATACATACACAAATACATCATACAGTTTACGGCTATATACTAAATACATAGTGTTTTTATTTAATAAATTGTTTTTTTTATATATATATTAAATTTAATAAAATATAAAATATTTATATACAAAAAAATTATTATTTATTTATTTTATTTTGTTTAGAATTTCTAAAACAAAAATAGTAGTATAAAATTTATTCGAAAAAAAAAGAAAAACAATTCAAAATGCTGTCAAAAGAAAGTGCTAAATAGATGTTAAACAAATTCGTAATAATTTTTTATAGAAACAAAAATTCTATAAAATTTTCTAAGAAAATTTCGAAAACTTTTTAAAAAAAGAGAAAAATTTTGGAAAATTCTCAATAAAAAGAAAAAAATTCCAAATTCTCTATAAAAAAAGAAATTTTTGGAAAAATGAAAACTTACTATAAAAATATAGCAAAAATTCCCATATTAGGGACAACTATATAGTCGACTATATTATACACTATAGTGTCGACTATAGAGTCAACTATAGTATCGACTATAGAGTCAACCATAGTGTCGACTATAGAGTCAACTATAGTGTCGACTATAGAGTCGACTATAGAGTCAACTATAGTGTCGACTATAGAGTCGTCTATAGAGTCGACTATAGTATCGTCTATAGAGTCGACTATAGTGTCGACTATAGAGTCAACTATAGTATCGACTATAGAGTCAACCATAGTGTCGACTATAGAGTCAACTATAGTGTCGACTATAGAGTCGACTATAGAGTCAACTATAGTGTCGACTATAGAGTCGTCTATAGAGTCGACTATAGTATCGTCTATAGAGTCGACTATAGTGTCGACTATAGAGTCGACTATAGTGTCGACTATAGAGTCGACTATAGTGTCGACTATAGAGTCGACTATAGTGTCGACTATAGAATCGACTATAGTGTCGACTATAGTGTCGACTATAGAGTCGACTATAGAATCGACTATAGAATCGACTATAGTGTCGACTATAGTGTCGACTATAGAGTCGACTATAGTGTCGACTATAGAGTCGACTATAGTGTCGACTATAGAGTCGACTATAGTGTCGACTATAGAGTCGACTATAGTGTCGACTGTAGGGTCGACTATAGTGTCGACTGTAGGGTCGACTATAGTGTCGAATATAGAGTCGACTATAGTGTCGACTATAGAGTCGACTATAGTGTCGAATATAGAGTCGACTATAGTGTCGACTATAGAGTCGACTATAGTGTCGACTATAGAGTCGACTATAGTGTCGACTATAGTGTCGACTATAGAGTCGACTATAGTGTCGACTATAGAGTCGACTATAGTGTCGAATATAGAGTCGACTATAGTGTCGACTATAGAGTCGACTATAGTGTCGAATATAGAGTCGACTATAGTGTCGACTATAGAGTCGACTACAGCGTCAACTATAGAGTCGACTATAGTGTCGAATATAGAGTCTATAGTGTCGACTATAGAGTCAACTATAGCGTCGACTATAGAGTCGACTATAGTGTCGACTATAGAGTCGACTATAGTGTCGACTATAGAGTCGACTATAGTGTCGACTATAGAGTCGACTATAGTGTCGACTATAGAGTCGACTATAGTGTCGACTATAGAGTCGACTATAGTGTCGACTATAGAGTCGACTACAGCGTCAACTATAGAGTCGACTATAGTGCCAACTATAAAGTCAACTATAGACTCGACTATAATGTCGACTATAGACTCCACTATAGTGTCGACTATAGACTCGACTATAGTGTCGACTATAGTTTCGACTATAGAGTCGACTAATGTCGAATATAGAGTCAACTATAGTCAACAATAGAGTCGACTATAGTGTCGACTATAAAATCGACCATAGAGTAAACTATAGTCTATTATAGAGTAAACTATAGAGTAGACTGTAGAGCCGACTATAGAGTAGACTAAAGAGCAGATTTTAGAGCAGACAATAGAGTTGACTATAAAGTTGACTATAGAGTTGACTATAATGTCGACTATAGAGTCGACTATAGAGTCGACTATAGAGTCGACTATAGAGTTGACTATAAAGTCGACTATAGAGCCAACTATAGAGTCGACTATAAAGTCGACTATAGAATCGACTATAGAATCGACTATAGAATCGACTATAGAATCGACTATAGAGTCGACTATAGAGTCGACTATAGAGTCGACTATAGATTTTTCTATAAAAAGTTTTTCTTTTTATATTAAAAAATCTCTTTTAATAAAGAATTTTTTAAAAAATTATCTTTTTCTTATCTTTTTTCGAAAAATGTCTCTTTTTATAGACTTTAAAAAAAAAATCTCTTTATAGAAAATTTTCAAAAAATTTCTCTTTTTATAGAAAGTTTTCGAAAACTTTCTCATTTTATAAAGAATTTTTAAAAAGTTTCACTTTTTATAGAGAATTTTCAAACAAATTTCTCTTTTTATAAAGAATTTTCGAAAAATTTCTCTTTTTATAAAAAAAATTTTCGAAAGATTTCTCTTTTTATAGAAAAAATTTTCGAAAAATTTCTCTTTTTATAGAGAATTTTCAAAAAATTTCTCGTTTTGAAGAGAATTTAAAAAATATCTCTTTTTATAGAAAAATTTTGAAAATTTTCTCTTTTTTAAGAAAAATTTCTCCTTTTACAGAAAATTTTCAAAAAATTTCTCTTTTTACAAAAAATGTCCGAAAAATATCTCTTTTTACAGAAAATTTTCGAAAAATTCCTCTCTTTTTTAAAATTGTTTCTTTATAGAGAATTTTGGAAAAATCTTTTTATAGAAAATTTTCTCTTTTTATAAAGAGTTTTCGAAAACTTTAATTTTTTATCTTGATTTTTTGTCCAACCATATTTAGCACTTCAAAGTTTAGCTATTTTAAATTTAAACTTCTTTTTATGTGTTTTATATATGTATATATAATTAAATAGATTTTACAAACATTTTTTTTTTAACATGAAATAAATACAAAATAAATTTATTACTTTTTATTTAATTAATATTTAAAGAACTTTATAAGTAGAGGGCAAAAAATAGGACAGAGAAAACTCAAATAATAATACCAGCAATTTGTCTAGGCTTGAGTATTATTACATTTGTAATGTTACATTTTGTTTATATTTTATATTGTTAATAATTTCTAAACTTTCATATGATTTATGTATTTATACCAAACACCATAATTCTTCTATTAAATTTATTGTTGTTAAGTTTTTGTTTTTTTTTAATATTTATTACTTCAAACGTTTTAAAATGCAGAAAAATAATTTTTAATGCATTTTCATTATTGCGGGGGCGCCATTATGTGTTTTCTATAAAGTATAAAAGAAAAACAAAAATAGGAATTGTATTGTTTATTTAACGTTTAGTGTCAAAAGGGTTTTTGTTATATAAATTGGATTCTTTTTGAACAATTATTATAATTGTTCTGTTTTTGCTTTTACTCTCCGAGTATTTAAGAGAAGTTTTAGTGTTTTAATCAAATTGCCAGCGCTTACGTTGTTGGTCCTTCTACTGTTGCTGCTGTTAAAACCCTTAACTAGTGCGTTTCTAAAAATTTTCCTTTTTATACTTTTTTGTGTTTTATTTAAATGTTTTTGCGAGTTTTAAAGCAAATCTTTATGTTTGTTTGTAATACATGTAATGTAAGAACGTTTAAATATTTTGTTTGTTTTTTGTTTTATAGTTTTCAAATATCAAAATGTTTTAATTTTATTTGTTAAATTTTCTTTTATTTTTATAACTACAAAGATTACATGTGTTTTATGTTTTCTTTTCTATATAGGAGACTTGGGTTTTTATTCATTTTTTTCTCTTGTCTAGAAATATTTTTAAAGAGAAAAGCATTTAGTGTAAAATAAAAAAACATAATAAACGATGTGTTTAAGGTTAAATGTTGGTCAATTCTTTTAAGTTTTCTGGTAACAATTAAAAGAAAAGTGTGACATTTCTGATATAAATAGAAATATTTTCAAAAAATTTAAGAATCAGAGAATTTAAAAATTGTTTAAAAGTAAAATTTTTCAAAAAATTTCTAAGAAAAGACAAATTTTCCACAAAAAAAAACTTTTTCTACAAATTTCCTTAAAAAATCCAATTTTTTGGAATATTTTCTAAAGAAAAGAAAAATATTCCGAATGTTTTCAATAAAAAAGACAACTGTTCAGAGTATTTTCTATAAAAAAGAAAAATGTTTAGGCAAATTTTCTTTAAAAAGAATACATTTTCGGAAAAATTTCTTTAATAGAGAGAAATTTCTATTTTCCGAAAATTTTCTATACAATTTTCGACAATTTTCTATAAAAAGAAGAGAAATTTTTTATAAAAGAATATAAATTTTCTATATAGGAATATAAATTTTCTATAAAAGAATACAAATTTTCCGAAAATTTTCTATAAAAAATAGAGAAGTTTTCCGAAATTTTTCTATAAAAAGAAAAGAAGTTTTCCGAAATATTTCTATAAAAAGAAAAGAATTTTTCCGAAAATATTCTTTAAAAAGAAAAGAAGTTTTCCGAAAATTTTCTTTAAAAAGAATAGACATTTTCCAAAAATTTTCTATAAAAAGAAAAGAAGTTTTCCGAAATTTTTCTTTAAAAAGAATAGAAAATTTCCGAAAATTTTCTATAAAAAGAATAGAAATTTTCCGAAAATTTTCTTTAAAAAGAATAGAAATTTTCCGAAAATTTTCTTTAAAAAGAATAGAAATTTTCCGAAAATTTTCTTTAAAAAGAATAGAAATTTTCTGAATTTTCGAAAATTTTCTATAAAAAGAATAGAAATTTTCTGAATTTTCGAAAATTTTCTATAAAAAGAATAGAAATTGTTCGAAAATTTTCTATAAAAAGAATAGAAATTGTTCGAAAATTTTCTATAAAAAGAATAGAAATTTTCCGAAAATTTTCTATAAAAAGAATAAAAATTTTCCGAAAATTTTCTATAAAAATAATAGAAATTTTCCGAAAATTTTCTTTAAAGAGAATAGAAATTTTCCGAAAATTTTCTATAAAAATAATAGAAATTTTCTTTAAAAAGAATATAAATTTTCCGAAAATTTTCTTTAAAAAGAATATAAATTTTCCGAAAATTTTCTTTAAAAAGAATATACATTTTCCGAAAATTTTCTTTAAAAAGAATAGAAATTTTCCGAAAATTTTCTTTAAAAAGAATAGAAATTTTCCGAAAATTTTCTTTAAAAAGAATAGAAATTTTCCGAAAATTTTCTTTAAAAAGAATAGAAATTTTCTGAAAATTTTCTATAAAAAGAATAGAAAATTTTCTATAAACAAAGAGAAAAAAATGTCCAAAAAAGTTTCTATAAAAAAAAATTCGAAAATTTTCTATAAAAAAAAGAAATTTTCTAAAAAAAAGTTCCAATAATTTTGCGTTAAAAAATTTAGAGAATTGACAATTCTTAAGCTTCATCAACTATTCATAGCAAAATTCAGTTGAATCATTTAATCACTAAAATGTTTTAATTTTCCTTCAAAACTACAGTCCAAAATTTTATTTAACCTTAAAAACATCGTTAAATATAAAAACAAAAAACTTTATATTGAAAAAAATTTTGTAGGTATAGGATAAATACAAATTTATAAATACTAGAGCAAAATTTGTTTATTATTAATTTTTTTTTAATGATTTTAATTAATAATTTATGTATTTCTGTTATATATTTATATAAAAAATTAACGATTTTTATTTAATATTTATTATTATTTATTTATATATACAAAAAGTTAATGTTATTTTATTGTTATTTTATATAGTTGTGTGGTAATTTGTTTATTATTATTATACTTATAATGGTTTACATATTACTTTTATATTTTTAGAAATATCTATATGAATATTAAATTTGTTGTTTTTTAATTTTTGATTAACTTTGTTTGTTGTTTTCTTTCATTATTGTTAATTTCTTAAAGAAGTTTATATCAATCAATTGCATTTTATTACTTCAAGTTTAATTCATTTCGTTATGTTGCATATTTTGCTTTATTTTTTTGCTTTTACAGCAATACTTTAAAAATACATAATATTTGTTTTGTTTTTAATATAGATTAATGACTGCTAAAAAAAACATTTCTTTTCAAGACATGATTCTAAATATTTTATTCGTTTTTTTTTTCTATTATAATTATAATAATTTGTGTTGCTTTCATTCAGAGAGGAAGAGTTTATCTGTCTATTTAGAAAGGAATTTAAAGGTTTTTATGGGGATTGGCAAAGACATTCATTTCTTATTTTTTTTCGTTTAACTAGTTGCTATTTTCAAATGCACTTTTCACATTTAGTGTTTTACAAGAAATACAAACAAATGCTATTATTTCCATTTTAAATTTACTTTTTCTTTTTGATTTTTTCAGGTATTAAAGAAGACATAAGGGATCAAGCAGAAGTTTCATTTGGTTCCATCCAACCTTCACTATCGTCATCACTGTCCGAGTCTTCGGATTCGGAAAGTTCTATTGCAACACGTCTAGCTAGAATGGAGGCCACATCATGAAGGCCAGTATTACGTTCGATTTCTTTCTGTTCGGATTTTTCCACTTTGCGAAGTGTTATTCCTGGGGGATTTGAGAAAAAAGAGAAATTATTATTTATGGTTCAAAAATATTAATAAAATAACTTAAAAAATAGAAGTTTTGCAAAATACTTTATAAAAAAATCTATAAAAAGAGAAATTTTCTGAAAAATTTTCATAAAAAAGAGATGTTTTCGAAAATTTTCTATAAAAAACAGAAATTTTTCTATAAAAAAGAGAAATTTTCCGAAATTTTTTTATAAAAAAGAGAAATTTTCCAAAATTTTTCTATAAAAAAGAGAAATTTTCCGAAAATTTTCTATAAAAAAGAGAAATTTTCCGAAAATTTTCTATAAAAAAGAGAAATTTTCCGAAAAATTTCTATAAAAAAGAGAAATTTTCCGAAAAATTTCTATAAAAAAGAGAAATTTTCCGAAAAATTTCTATAAAAAAGAGAAATTTTCCGAAAATTTCTATAAAAAAGAGAAAACTTCCGAAAATGTTCTATAAAAAAGAGAAAATTTCCGAAAATGTTCTTAAAATTTCTGAATTTTCTATAAAAATTAGATTTTTTTCGACAGTTTTCTATAAAAAGCAAAATTTTCCGAAAATTTTCAATGAAAAAGAAAAAATTTTCTATAAAAAGAGAAAATTTTCGAAAATATTCTATAAAAAAGAGAAAATTTCTATAAAAAGAGAAAATTTTTTTATAAAAAAAGATAATTTCCGAAAATTTTCTATAAAAATGTTAAAATTTCTATAAAAGAGAAATTTTTCGAAAATATTCTATAAAAAAAGAGAAACTTTCTATAAAAAGAGAAATTTTCCGAAAATTTCTATAAAAAGAGAAATTTTCCGAAAATTTTCTATAAAAAGAGAAATTTTCCGAAAATTTTCTATAAAAAGAGAAATTTTCCGAAAATTTTCTATAAAAAGAGAAATTTTCCGAAAATTTTCTATAAAAAGAGAAATTTTCCGAAAATTTTCTATAAAAAGAGAAATTTTCCGAAAATTTTCTATAAAAAGAGAAATTTTCCGAAAATTTTCTATAAAAAGAGAAATTTTCCGAAAATTTTCTATAAAAAGAGAAATTTTCCGAAAATTTTCTATAAAAAGAGAAATTTTCCGAAAATTTTCTATAAAAAGAGAAATTTTCCGAAAATTTTCTATAAAAAGAGAAATTTTCCGAAAATTTTCTATAAAAAGAGAAATTTTCCGAAAATTTTCTATAAAAAGAGAAATTTTCCGAAAATTTTCTATAAAAAGAGAAATTTTCCGAAAATTTTCTATAAAAAGAGAAATTTTCCGAAAATTTTCTATAAAAAGAGAAATTTTCCGAAAATTTTCTATAAAAAAGAGAAAATTTCCGAAAATGTTCTATAAAAAGAGAAAATTTCTGAAATTTTCCGAAAATTTTCTATATAATTTTCCATAAAAAAAGAAGGTTTCCGAAAATTTTCTATAAAAAACAGAGAATATTGAAAATTTTCTATTTCACAAGTTAATAAATTCAAAACATCTAACATACCATCTCTTATGGCCTTCATTAAATCGGATCTAGTATCGTGGAATGGTGGTAATATTTTCTTAGGTTGTGGTTTTGGTCCACCCATCATTCCGTTCGATTGTATATCACCATTTGGCAATGATTTTGGCATAATTTGATGTGGTCCTTGATTAATAGGCGATGAACCGTTCTCATCCAATGGTGGTGGAGGAGGAGGTGGTGGTGGCGCCGCATTAGGTGGCGATAGCTTTGGTTCATGCTGCAAAAAAATATGAAGAAAAACATTAGTAAATCAATAAGTTAACTTGTTAAAATATGGCGAACTACTAAAGCCATTTTACTTACCTGATCCGGCACCGGTGGTGGTGGTGGCAAATCATTTAATGAATTCATTTGTTGCATACCACCACCCATAGTCATACTATTGAAACTATTTATGGTATTATTCAATTGTGCCATTACTAAGGCATTCGCATCCTGTACACTGCTCGGTGCCAATTGTGGAGAGCCAGCTCTCGATGTGCTATTGGTGCGAGCTAATAATTTCGCTGCAATATGACCACTACCGCCACCATTCAATTGAGCCAACATTTGTGATGGGGATGTTGTGTTAATCATACCATCTGGTATGGGAGGCGGTGGTGGCAGAGCATCCCGACTTGTTGACATACTGCGACCACGTGTAGGTGTATTAGCGCTCGATGCTGTTGGTGTACCACCGCCACTACCATTCGATGGTGGTGCCGGTGGTGGTTGTGAGGGTCGTGGTTTGGTGCGTGATGGTGTGCCGGGAGCATAAATCGGTTCTGGCGACATGGGACCTTGACCGGTCTGACCATACAAGGCGTGCGATTGATGATAGAGAGCATCGTCGTACATTTGTTGCTGCTGCTGTTGTTGCTGTTGATGCTGTAGATGTGACTGTTGTTGATGATGCTGCATGCCAGCCATACCCTGATGCTGTTGCATTTGCTGTGACGGATGCATGCCATTGGCAGCATATGCTGTTGTAGCATACTGACTGCCACCACCTTGGGCATTTGTCATCATATTACCAGCATTTTGTGGTGATAACGGTCCATAAACACCATCAATTTGTTCGGATTGATAACTGCGTCGCAATTCTATAGAATTGGGTCGTGCTGGTCGTGTCTCGTAAATGCCCATACCTTTAAGAAAATAAAGCAAATAGTAGAGAAATATATAAATCAATTTGAAAAAGCATTTTTTAACACAGCAAAAGAAAATATGAACATTTTTACAATAAAATAACAAAATACAAAAGAAATAAATACATAACACATTGATAAACATAAATTAAAGATTATTGTTTATGAAAAAAAGTTGAATAAAATTTTTAATAAAAGAATTTTATTTAACAAAACAATATGAATGTATAGAAATTGTAATTTTAATGAATTGTATGTTTAATAATGTATAGAAGAAGAAAAAAACCTTAACATTTAGAAAACACTTTGATGTTGATTATTAGTTTGGTTTATTTTGACATGAACTGTACGACAGCAATATTTGTTTTAAAGCCAATTTTCTTTTTAGATTTTCTAATGCTGCAATTTATTTTTTACAATTTAGTTATACTAATCAATAACAGCAGCACATAAGAGAAGTTTAGAAGAGTTTTAACTTTTTTTCATATTTTTGATAACACAAGCGACGTACAGAGCACTTGAAGATATAGATAGATAGAGGAGGTGAATAGAAGTGAAAGACAGTAATTTTAGAATTAGTCATGTAGGGTGTTTGTTCTTAAGAAAGAATATTGAATTAATCTTCTAAAGCTAAAATGGGATTTTTTTAAAAGCAAGCCAAAAGTATTAATGTTAAAACACAAAAGAAAATAGATTTTTTTAAATTAGAAAAATATAAATAAAATAAAAACATCTATGGAAGTTGAGGTGATATTAATGAGAGTGTTTAAAAGGATCTAAGGCCTAATGTCTAACTTTCCTAGTTTAAATACATATTAAAGGAATTATTCATGATTTATTATTAAAGTTACGAATTTTTATTGATTATTTTTTGTCTGAAACCTTTGCTCTACTTAACGAAAAATATTTTTTTAAAAAAATTACAATATTAAAATGTATTATTCATATACCTACATATGTACTACATATGTATGTTTGTATGTAATAATATTTCAACTGTATTACTATACTTCTTTATCTACTATATTATTTTCTCTCTCACTCTTCGTTTACTGCATGATGAGTTGATGATGATGATGGTGACAAAAAAGGTCAATGTGTGTTATTTGACCTTTTGCTCCATTTTATGAGTAATAATTCGTTTATATTAAAAACATGAAAATCACATTTAGAAAAACATAGTTATTAAATGTTATTAGAAATTATTTTTATTTAAAAAAATTTAATAAAAGGCATAATAAAACAAATCATGATTTATTGAACATTAGTGCGAACTTTCGAAATGTTTCTCATTTTAAAATTGTTTATGTTCGATATTGAATTAAATGATAAAATATTTCTGAACATAAGTTGGAATATTCAAGTCTCTACTCGGAATCGAACAGTCGATGTTATAAAACACTATAATATATAACCTAATGGAGGCAAAAGCTTAACATTTTTGATTTTTGATGATTTTTGAGATGAAAAAAGTTTCTTTCGAAAATGTTCCACTTATATAATCAAAATCATTTCAAGCTTGTATGATTTCAAGTGATTTGTGTTATTATTTAATTTTCTCATTTATCCTCTAAAAGATGTAATTTAAAACAATTGCCTTTTATCATACATAAGAGAAAAACTATTTATTATAAAGTAATCTGAAAATTTAATGACACACTTTTAAAACAATAAATGATATTTTTATGAAAGTTGTTCATCACTATTTAATGACTTTGATAGTTTGACTAAATTTTGTTGTCATAAGTAAATTGAAAGGTTAGAGACAAGGATAAAGACAAAGACTATAGACATAGACTATAAACTTGACTATAGACAAGACGAGATTAGTCCAGATTATATACTAGAATTTATATAATCTGGACTATAGACTAGACTATAGTCTAGACTATACACTAGACTATAGACAATAGACTATACTATAGACTAGACTATAGACTAAACTATAGACTAGACTATAGACTAAACTTAAAACTAAACTTAAGACTAAACTGTAGACTAGACTATGCAATAGACTATACTATAGACTAGATTAGACTAGACTATAGACTAAACTATAGACTAGACAATAGACTAGACTATAGTTTAAACTATGGACTAGACTATAGACTAAACTTAATACTATACAATAGACTAGACTATAGATTAAACTATGGACTAGACTATAAACTAAACTTAAGACTTGACAATAGACTAGACTATATATTAGACTATAGACTAGACTATAGACTAGACTATAGACTAGACTATAGACTAGACTATAGACTAGACTATAGACTAGACTAGGCTATAGACTAAACTTATGACTAAACTATAGACTATAGATAAGACTAAAGACTGGACTATAGTTCAGACTGTATACTAAACTATTCACTATAGACTAGACTATAGACTAGACTATAGACTAGACTATAGACTAGTCTATAGACTAGACTATAGACTTGACTATAGACTAGACTATAGACTAGACTATAGACTAGACTATAGACTAGACTATAGACTTGACTATAGACTAGACTATAGACTTGACTATAGACTAGACTATAGACTAGACTATAGACTAGACTATAGACTAGACTATAGACTAGACTATAGACTAGACTATAGACTAGACTATAGACTAGACTATAGACTAGACTATAGACTAGACTATAGACTAGACTATAGACTAGACTATAGACTAGACTATAGACTAGACTATAGACTAGACTATACTATAGGCTCTCGCCATCTCGTTCAGAGGCAAACGGCATTCAGGGATAAGTTTTTATATAGAATACACAACAATCAGGCATTTTATAACAGCTTGAATATCAGTATTGATTCTCTTACTCGACAAATTGAGAAAAAATTATTTGCTATAAAAAAATCAATTGGCACGTTTTATAGAGAGGAAAAGTTAAGATTTATTAGAAAGAATTTAAATTATTGTTTAATAGTTTGCTATATTTAGAAATTCAAACAAATAAATTGTCATAATTAAAATAGATTGATTGTTTGAGAGAAAGCTCTATTAAAACATATTAAGAATTTCAACTGGATTCGAAAAAAAGAAAAGAAAGACTATTCCAACAGATTTTAAAATTGTAAATTTAATAACAATAACATTTAATAACTCTTAAAAAACAATTGTAAATATTGTAATACAAGGTCAAATTTATATGCATAGAAAAGTAATAAATTATTGAATTGAATTAAAAAAAAAGCTAAAAAATAATGTTAAAAGTCACATCAATTATAACAAAATACTAAATTATAACAAATACAAAATGTATACAAATAAAAAAAAGTAAATATATTATATAATTTATGACAAAACGGGTAGGAATAGAGTGGAAGAAATAGAAAGGGGGAGGGGGTAAAAACAACAAGTGGTGTTTGTGGTGCTGCTATGAAAAGTGATAAATTAAACAGATACAAACAGAGAGACAGAGAGTAAGAGAGAAATGTGTGGGGGTTTGGAAGGGGGAAGGAGAGTATCAGAAGTATAGCTGTATATAATAAAACATATACATATAATATATTTAAATACATAAAAATTGTATGTATGTATATATATAAATGTTTTAAGATATGTTGTTTATATTGTTGTTGATTTAAACAATATTTAATAACATTTAATTTTTTTTTTTTTTGAAAACTTAATTTAAATATGAGTTTAATTTTGTTTAGTTTATTGTTGTTTTTATTTGTTAAAAGGATAGTGGTAGTAGAAGAAGAAACAAATGCTCTCTGACCTGCAATGGCAACAGCAGTTTGCTTCGCCAGATTACTGTTATTTTCCAAATGTGAAAGCATATTATAAGGTTTAACATTGCCTGGAAAATATACAGACGACACATAATAATGATAATGACGACGATAAATGAATGTTATGATTAAGTAAATGAAACATTTTTTTTTGTAAATAATATTCAACGAAATAAAAAAAAACTATATTATTAACCTAATTTGTGATAGAAAATGATTAATGCAAAATATTGAAAGAAGATTTTAACTTTAAACTATAACATTTAGCAAATGAAACTAATGTCTTTTTAATAATGATTTTTGCTATTCTATATGATTTGCGAGTTAAACTCGTAGAGTGACTAATGTTGTTGTAGTGGCAATTATTGCTGGCACAGTGGGTTCTTAAATGATAGAAAATTGTAATGTAATTCAAAAACATCATGCTCTGAAGTTTATTAAGAAGAAAAAAACCTTGCAAGGCATATTAAGAGATAAGAAAACCCAGTGAATGAACTGTTCTTTAGAAGCTATTTCTAAAAAATTGGGAACCTAGAATTCTTTTGTAGATGTTGCAGATGAGGAGCTTCAAACTGTTCTATAGAAGTTTGAGCAATCTTTAGCTGTTCTGTAGATGTTTGAGAAAACACAAATTGTTCTATAGATGGTGGAGGAACCTCAAAGTGTTCTATGGAAGATTGGAAAACATCCAATTATTCTATAGATGTTTGAGGAAGCTCAAATTGTTCTGTAGATGGTGGAGGAACCTCATATTGTTCGTTAGTCTATTATTCTATTGAAGTTTGAGGAAACTGAAATTGTTTAATAGATGGTGTTCAATAGAGGAAACTGAAATTTTCCAATAGAAGTTTAAAAAATCTCGAACTGTTCTATAAAAGTTTGACAAACCTCAAATTGTTCTACAGAAGTTTGAGAAACCTTAAACTATTCTACAGAAGTTTATGATACCCCAAACTTAGAAGTTTGAGAAGCCTCAAATTGTTCTATAGAATTTTAAGAACCTTCGAGCTGTTCTATAGAAGTTTGAGAAATCTCAAACTGTTTTATAGAAGTTTGACAAACCCCAAATTGTTCTACAGAAGTTTGAGAAACCTTAAACTGTTCGATAGCAGTTTAAGAAGCAAAATTGTTCTATAGAAGTTTACAGAAGCAAAAATTGTTCTATAGAAGTTTAAGGAACTTCAATCTGTTTAATGAAATTGTTCTATAGCAGACTAAGTCACACCCCACACTCTACTATATAAGAGTGAGGAACATAATACCTTTCAAAAGAAGTTTGAAGAAGCACAACCTGTTCTACAAATTTATACAAGTTTGAGGTACTGCAAAGTTTAAGGATAAATATGAAAAGGTAATAAGAAAACTATTAGAAAGTTCAAGTAGTGATCTGATTTGGAAAAGTTTTTCGAATGTTCTGAATGTGCACGCAAATAACTTCAAACTGATACTTAAACATTCACATCCCAGGAGTTGTAAAGTAGAAAAATGGTACTTAGCTTAAGAAGACATTCTTTTTTTAGAGAAAATGTATACAAAATAGTAGAAGTTTCTTTCTAAAGTTTAAGACTTACACTAATATATGGCACTTCCTTTTGGCAAATGGATTTAAGAAAAATCGGATGACTTAGTTGAAATTGCGTCAGTTGCAATGGGAGTATATAAAGGTATCGAGGAAAGGGGTTAAAACTATAGTTTTACGTTGAATGTCTTCGTTTTAAAGTGTAAGCGATTGCAAGCAATATCTAATACAATTGAATGGCCACATATTCTTACAATAACTCTTTGAAGCTTCCGAAAAATCTAAAAATGTTAAACAAAGATATTTCACAGATTTTTGCAAATTTATAAAGTACATCAGTAACTCATAAGTATTGACAACAATAATAAATTTCATTATCTTCAGAACCCACTGTAGTAAATTAGCTAAAAGCTTAGAAAATGATTCATTCATTGTTGGTTGAAAATAAAATAATGACGCAGCAATGTTTTTGTGAACTTTGTAGTAAACTAAAACAAAAGTAAATAATAGAAAAGAATCCATGTTGTTCTATTAATGAAGTTAACAGCTTGTTTTTCTAAAATGAAAATTTGCCTTCGTTCTTAAAAATAACGAACGAAATTGGCTTTACGTTTTTGTAACGAAAAAATAAATTTTCATGTGAGTGACAACGAAAGAGCTTTATTTTTCCATATATTTTTGGTTTTTAGAAAATGAATTCGTTCGTAATAAACGAAAGAAATGTCAGAAATAGACGATAGGCAAAGGCCTTTCGTTTGCCCAAAAAACAACGAAAATTTTACCAAAATACGTAATAATATGTGGCCATTTGAACCAGAATGTAATTCGCAATACAAACCTTTAAATTTCTTGAGACATTGCATACAATTTTCATGTTGTTTTTAAAAAAACATTTTTTCATAATTTCAATTTTTTTCTAAAATTATTTTATTTTTGTTTATTTTTTAGGGTTAACACCAAACACCTTATTACTACATGAAAAAATATTTAAAAATTCAGAAATGAAATACGTAGGCAATAATGTTCTGTTACGATAGAAAAAGCTCATTTCATTTTAGACATTTTTAAACGAAAACTTTCAAATGTTTTATAAAAACCTAATTTTAAACTTGATCGTAATAAAATGAAATGTTCGTGTGAGAACTAAATTGTTTTAGAAAAACAGGCTGTAAGTTAAAGTAAAAAGTAAAAACATTTTAAAACAATTTCACATAAGTAATTATAAACTAGAACACTCATTTTTATTTTGGCGTATTTTGAATTTGCTTGGCATTTAGCTTTATTTTGCTTTTGTTATTCAAAAAAAAATTGGCTTGAAATTATGATTTCGCTTTGAAACTCTGTCGTGCCGTTGTCGTACCTACATGTTAAATCATCAAAGTTGTTTGTGCTGATCACATTTGGTCTAAGACGACTTAATTGTATACCATCATAACCACCACCATTACCACCTAAATGTTGTTGCTGTTGTTGTTCTTGTAGTTGATGTTGTTGTATTAGTTGATATTGTTGCTGATGGTATTGATGTTGTTGTTGTAGCTGTTGTGCTGTTGTCGTACCACTCTCACTATCTGTGACAGTGTGTATTTCAACAAGTTGTGCTAAATATTGAAAATCAATAATTGGTTGGTTGGTTTGGTTGGCAATTTTTTTTTTCTTGTAAAATTGAAGTATGAAATTAGTACTTGATGAAAATGTGGAGTGGAAAAGGAGAAAGAAAAACAACATTACAGACGGACATGATGAAAAAGGGAAAGTTTTCAATGTGTGTTTTTCTTATTTTCGAATATCGCAAAAAAAAAACTATAAATTATTTCATTTTGAGTTTGAATAGATCGTACTTTTAGACATGTGACAGACAGATAACGGAATGATGAATACATAGTAAATTATATCATTTATAATAATCTATGTGATGTTTAACAAATATTTGGTTAGTTTTATTTCCAACTAATGTTAGCTTAGGCGGAAGTAGTGTATAAAATCTTGTATTCTGAATGAATTTGAACAAAAAAAGGCATATTTCCAAATTCGTTGAAATCAACAATTGTATGAAATTGCTTCAGCCCCAATAAGAAGACTGTTGTATAGTTTGGGGAATCTCAAACGGTTCTATAGAAGTTTAAGGAACCTCTAACTGTTCTATCGAGGTTTGGGAAACCTAAAACCGTTATATCGGAATTTAGGAAACCTCAAACCACTCTATCGAAATTTGGGGAACCTAAAACTGTTCTATAGAAGTTTGAGGCACCTTAAAGTGATATACATATATAGAAGTTTAAGTAACCTCAAACTGATCTATAAGAAGATTGAGCAACCTCAAACTGTTCTAACGAAGTTTAAGGAACCTTGAAATGTTCTATTGAAGAACCTCAAACTGATGTATATTAAAGTTTGAGGAACCTTAAACTGATCTATATAGAAGATTGAGGAACCCCAAACTGTTCTATAGAAGTTTAAGGAACCTCAAACTGTTCTATCGAAGTTTAAGGAACCTCAAACTGTTCTATCGAAGTTTGAGAAACCTTTAACTTTGAAGTTTGAAGAATCTCAAAATGTTCAATCGAAGTTTTAGTAATCTCAAACTGTTCTACAGAAGAAGTACTTCTGTGCTATGAAAGTTTGAGGAACCTTTATTCGTTCTATAGAAGTTTGATTAATCTAAAACTGTTCTATATAAGTTATACATTCCAATTTGTATTATGCAGTAAGTAACCACTTATAATATTGAAATTATTGAAGAAAATACTTAGGAAAACCTGTAATTCTTCAAATCGATATTGAGTAAGAATAAAATATGGAACCATAGATTCACTCTTTGAAAGAATATCCGTGTCCTTTTAATCCAAATAGTTTGGATTTTTATAACAAATTATAAATTAAAAAAAAATACAAAAAATTATTCGAGTTAATATAAATAATTATAATCATATCTCTACAACCCATCACCTATACAAAATTATAAAATTGTATGTATAATCATAATAATGTTTAGAAATTAGAAAAAAAACCAAAATACTTACTACCACCATAGCCGGCTTCCTCGTTGACCACAGAATTTGGTGTTCGATAAATAACATTATTTGGCATTAAAGTTTCACCATGTCCAATAGCAATTTGTCGTTGTTTCTCTCGTGTATTATGGGGTGTACGCACTCGTTTCTTATGTCCACGACCACTAGCACCGCCATCCTGTCGTGGTCGATGCATTTTCTTGCCTTTATCGTGCATAACACGTTCCGTATCCTTAAGCATCTCCTGACGCCACAATTCAAAGAAATAATTAGGATCTGTATAGAATTTAAGACCATCTTTACCATCATCCCGATAAACGTTCAGTTTATCTAGAGGTGGTGGTTTATCACATTGTGCATATGTTTCCAGCATTGGCGCTGGCATAGTGGCTCGTGAAAATATTTGTTGATCGAAATTTTTGGCAGATTTAAAAGCTTTCTTTCGTGTGATGTCCGTTAGGGGCACTTCTTCGACGGTACTATCCAATTGTGTTACCTTAATGGCTAGACGATCAATGCGTGCCTGCAGTGAATTGGCACGATCACCAATATTTCCCACATCTCGTGCCAATTCACCGAATACATCTTCGGCATGTTTTGACAACGATGACAATTGTCTTATGATATTTGTTAGTGTTGTGTTTGTGACTGTTTCCAATTCTACCGATTGTAATTCATCCTGTTGATAGACAGAACGGGCCACATGCACCGGCTCAATTGAACGTTTGGGCAGTGGCATTGTGCTGTTGAAATCTCAATATTGATTAGTTTGCAACAAAACTGCTCAGCGTTTAAACATTAAAAGCTAAAAATAAATTGAGAGAAAAGTGGATTTATTAATAAAATTGATTTTTCCTTAAAAATTTTAAAATAAAAATTTATATTATGCATATGTATATTTTAGATAACAGCCGTCAGCATTAGTCATTTATATGTTTGTTCCAACTGTGATATCTTTCGAAAACAAATATTAATCAGTAGCTAGAAAGTGACGAAAATTTTGATATTTTATTGTTGTTTATAAAAAAACAATGTTTGCTATTGAAAGTGGGTTCTATTGAATGAGAAAAAATTAATAAATGACGCGAGGTCATTATAAAAACTATAGAAACTATTTTGTATATAAAACATGACAATAATAAACTAAAGACTAACAAACGTCTCTTTAAATTGCTATAATGTATTTTATAAGTGCTTAATCAGTATCAGAGATGGGGGTAGTGCACTAATTTTTAACTATCACTAATAATTAGTGGTAGTTCAAAATTATTCACTACTTTTGTTTAAGTTTAGTGATGAATTGAAAAATATAAGCCTCATTCAATAATAGTAATAGTGATATTTAAAATTTTTAACTAAAAATATTTTAAAAATAGTTAAAATATTTGTTTTTACAGCCTAGTGAAATAATTTTTTCTACACTAAATTATTAGTTCAAAAATATTCCTGCACTATTTTTTTTTTCTACGGAGAAATGTTTCACTCAATTGAAAGTTTAAGTTGATAGGTCAGTCTAGAAATGGTTCAAGTCAACCAAAAACTCATGAATAAAGCTTTCATTATTTACAACATTTCTAAGCTATTGCTTAAAAAATATCCAGTAACCGCATCATTTTTGCAACTGGCTATCTAAATCTGTATTTTCTATTTTAATAGATGTATCTTTACAAAAATTTAATCATTTATTGTCTTACAAATTCTTTAATTTTCATTTTAAAAAAATTAGTGCAAAGAAATTTATTGCAGCCTTTTGTTAGTTACTGTTCAAATTTTTAACTATTTGAGTGTAGTGCTTTTTTCTACACTACCACTCAATTGAGTTATAGTTAAAAAAATAAATTATCACTAAAAAATATTAGTGCTAAAAATATAAGCTTCACTATCACTAAGCTGCTGAAAATTAGTGAAAAATATATTATTTGAAATAATATTTAGTGCTAGTGAAATATTGATTTAACTAAAAAAATAGTGCACTACCCCCATCTCTGATCAGTATACAATAAAAAACGTTTTTTATCATCTTGAAATTGTATAGAAATTTTTGTAAAATTTTAAAATATTTTTGTTGATGGATATTTCCATTAATTAACTGAACTAGAACTGAACTAGAACTGAACTAGAACTGAACTAGAACAGAACTAGAAACTGAAACTAGAACTGAACTAAAACTGAACTAGAACTGAACTAGAACTGAACTAGAACTGAAACTAGAACTGAACTAGAACTGAACTAGAACTGAACTAGAACTGAACTAGAACTGAACTAGAACTAGAACTAGAACTGAACTAGAACTGAACTAGAACTGAACTAGAACTGAACTAGAACTGAACTAGAACTGAACTAGAACTGAACTAGAACTGAACTAGAACTGAACTAGAACTGAACTAGAACTGAACTAGAACTGAACTAGAACTGAACTAGAACTGAACTAGAACTGAACTAGAACTGAACTAGAACTGAACTAGAACTGAACTAGAACTGACTGAACTAGAACTGAACTAGAACTGAACTAGAACTGAACTAGAACTGAACTAGAACTGAACTAGAACTGAACTAGAACTGAACTAGAACTGAACTAGAACTGAACTAGAACTGAACTAGAACTGAACTAGAACTGAACTAGAACTGAACTAGAACTGAACTAGAACTGAACTAGAACTGAACTAGAACTGAACTAGAACTGAACTAGAACTGAACTAGAACTGAACTAGAACTGAACTAGAACTGAACTAGAACTGAACTAGAAACTGAACTAGAACTGAACTAGAACTGAACTAGAACTGAACTAGAACTGAACTAGAACTGAACTAGAACTGAACTAGAACTGAACTAGAACTGAACTAGAACTGAACTAGAACCTGAACTAGAACTGAACTAGAACTGAACTAGAACTGAACTAGAACTGAACTAGAACTGAACTAGAACTGAACTAGAACTGAACTAGAACTGAACTAGAACTGAACTAGAACTGAACTAGAACTGAACTAGAACTGAACTAGAACTGAACTAGAACTGAACTAGAACTGAACTAGAACTGAACTAGAACTGAACTAGAACTGAACTAGAACTGAACTAGAACTGAACTAGAACTGAACTAGAACTGAACTAGAACTGAACTAGAACTGAACTAGAACTGAACTAGAACTGAACTAGAACTGAACTAGAACTGAACTAGAACTGAACTAGAACTGAACTAGAACTGAACTAGAACTGAACTAGAACTGAACTAGAACTGAACTAGAATTGAACTAGAACTAAGCTAGAACTGAACTAGAACTGAACTAGAACTGAACTAGAACTGAACTAGAACTGAACTAGAACTGAACTAGAACTGAACTAGAACTGAACTAGAACTGAACTAGAACTGAACTAGAACTGAACTAGAACTGAACTAGAACTGAACTAGAACTGAACTAGAACTGAACTAGAACTGAACTAGAACTGAACTAGAACTGAACTAGAACTGAACTAAAACTGAACTAGAACTGAACTAGAACTGAACTAGAACTGAACTAGAACTGAACTAGAACTGAACTAGAACTGAACTAGAACTGAACTAGAACTGAACTAGAACTGAACTAGAACTGAACTAGAACTGAACTAGAACTGAACTAGAACTGAACTAGAACTGAACTAGAACTGAACTAGATCTGAGCCAAAACTGAACTAGAAGGAATTACAACTCACATTTAGTTTATCCTATTTAAGAGAAGAAATTCATAACTAGCTAAAACATTCTTTACGAAAGGTAAACACTATTAAATTTTGCAAAAATGAAGAAAATAATTTTGAAAATAAAAAGCATACAAATAATAATTTGTGCTCCAAAACTAGTAAAAGAATGTAAATAAAGAAAACATAAAATAAACCTTTTAAACAATTAACACCATATTGTTGACATGCATACAAGGAATTAGACAAATTAACACGAAAATCACCAGTGATTAAACCACACTCTATGACCATAAAAAGTAAGCATAACAATAATAACAAATATTTATTTATTTATATGTCGTAAAAACCAACAGGAAAACAAAACATATAAAAAATCACACCCAAATGGTAAGAAAAAGACAAAAGAGCTAAAAAATTATAGATATTAAAACGACTAGTAAAGAAAATTTTGTAGACAAAAAAAAAATAAAAAACAATTTCTTAGCATTTTTATCTGCACCCAATTTGTAAGCATATGGTGGTGGTTGTGGTGTAAAAATATTGAAATAAAATTAAAATATTAAAAAATTATGCCGGTTGTTTTGTTAGTTTTTTCAAGAATTCTTCCGCAAATACTTGTCGTGTTGGAATTCCATAAATAAAAACTATAAAGAAATGATTTAGCAATTGATATTGTCCACAAAGAATTTTAAATTTAGATTTCATTAATAATTTTGTGATTTTATTAAGTGGAAATGAAGTAAGAAATTCAATAAAACTTATCAAGTCAATTGGCGGCTATTATACTTAAGAAATATGAATGTTTTGATAAGAAGTTTTTTTATATTAAGAAATAACCCTAAAAAACGATAACGTTTTAATCATAACTATATAGAAAACAAAAAGAAATTGACCAAACAAACAATAAAAATTTAACTTAGGTTAAAACAATAAATAAAATAATATAAAAAGAAATAAAATAAAATGTTGAAATGTATATTCATGCTAAAAGTGTATTGGGTGGAATATTTGCTTTGCCTCAAATTAGTTAGACACCTCAATAAGGTTTTGTGATTTACAACAAGCATTTTAGTATCATATTTCTGTAAAATTCAATGCTTGGTTGGTCGGTGGGTCGTTGGGTTTACCATCTCTTTTACTTTCATTTATATATTTATTTTACATTTAAATTATTTTTGCATTAAATTTGTTTGTGAAATGTAAACTAATTCAAATATTTAGTTTATTTTGTGTCAGGGGTGTTTAAAGTTGAGTAAACACCTTCTGACCTGTTGGTAAAAGTGTTACAAAGATGACACAGGGGAGTGATTTAAACAAAAATATACCTACGGTTTATTATAGAAGAAGCGTTTTTAACAAGAGCAGTTATTTTAAATTCAAGATACTTTTTATGGTAAAAAATTAGTAAATGTCATCAAGTTTAAACTAAAGGTTTTAAATCTTTGTATTGTTTCTATAAAATAAGTTCTTGTACTTTTTAATTTAGAATATAGTTATTTAACCTTCTCTTGCACATTTACAAGCAGTGATTGGCAATTTTCTTCTAAATTTCTCATATTTTTATTCTTTAGATCTATAAAACAGGGTTTTCATTTTTACTAGATTAAGTTTGCTAATTTTGTATTTTATGAATTTAGCCGATTTTTTTAGTATGCAGTTTAATTAACGCAAGTTTTTGTAATACCCTGTATAATTATATCATTATTGCTGAACATGAGATGAGGTCAAACACTAATTAAGTATTGTGTTTAGAATAATAATAAATGACATTTTCTATTATGACCTCATCACACGACGACTGACTACTTTTATTTATAGAAATTTGTAATAATTTGCCAATGGGAAAATAGTAAACAAATACATTTAAATTTAATAAAATTACATTTTTAACTTTTTTACTGGAAGATAGATAGATAGATAGATAGATAGATAGATAGATAGATAGATATATCGATAGATAGATAGATAGATAGATAGATAGATAGATAGATAGATAGATAGATAGATAGATAGATAGATAGATAGATAGATAGATAGATAGATAGATAGATAGATAGATAGATATATCGATAGATAGATAGATAGATAGATAGATAGATAGATAGATAGATAGATAGATAGATAGATAGA